TTTAACATGGTTATTAAAGTTGGACATCACGGTCCATCGTGGTATAACACCATATAACACGGTTTTTGAGGTCGGACATGATGGTACATCGTAGTCTAAAACCATTTAAAATGGTAAAAACTGTCAAAACATGATTTATCGTGGTTTACGGGGTTGGCCATCATGGTAAAAACTGTTAAAATATGATTTACCATGGATTTTGAGGTCGACCATCACGGTAAAACGTGTCAAAACATGATTTAGCATGGTTTACGGAGGATTCACCACAGTTTAACACGGTCCATCATTTGTCAACCATTGCTTTTAACATTGGTCATCCAGCGTCGAAAATCGTTCGATTTTGGTGCTGTTGAATTGGACTCGAATATTGAAAACTAAAGCCGAAATAAACGATCATGAAAAACTAATCATTCCAACAGCAACCTCCCGAAAGTGTACTGTACGCAATTTTTTTTAACCATTTTGTTAGCACGATAATTCTTCTTGGAGAACAGCAAATTCACATCTGACTTTACAGGGTGATTGGGATTGAAAGGAGTAGGCTGGTATTGTTTTTGAGCGATATTCGTTCATCGGTGTATCCATGATGTACCCATATATGGGGGTATGGTATGCGAAATTTTTTTAACTAGATAAATCTTTTCCCAGAGACGTAAATCAAAGTTTGATATGTGTAAAGGGGTTTTTTGCTACGAAAACCGAATCTGATTTTAGTTTTGAGAAACAATCAATATTTGAAAAAATCACCAAAAAAATGGGATTCGTAAAATACTTCGTATAGAAAGTACCTTCAATTTGTATTGAAATTTGCTTCAAACGTTAAGAATTTTTTTTTTTTTTTTTTTAAATAGCCTGTAAAAGTTACATGTCGTTGCGGTATCATACAGCCCAGCAAACAAATTTGTAATGTTTTTAGTACATTCTAACGTTGAAAAATGTAACGTTTTGGCCCATTCTGGTGGTCATTTTCGTGTCAAATGGAACGGAGATTATATGCATAGTTTCCACGAATTCCAATGGAATGGATCCACTTGTTTCTTTCACTTCCAATAATATTTCATTTGACAACATAATGTGAACACAACCCAACACATTAAGTTTTATATTGAAAATACAAATCTTACGCTCAAATTAAAAAATAAACAATTTATTCGAAAAGAAATAAATAAAACTCTGCAGGAGAACTCTTTTATACGTCATTTAATGCATTTATTTTTTTTTATTTGTGGAATTATTATTTTGAATTTTCGAAATACAACTGACATCTTTCTGACATTTTTCTATCCGCGCGGTGTATATGTGTCAAACCAAATCCAGTAGTTAGTATAAACAACTTTTGCACCAACCGATTTTGTTTACAATAAAATTTTGTTTTGTTTTCAACAGGATTTCTTGAGAATTATATGAGAGTGTTTGAAGCGTGGTTTGGGCGATCAATTGGTTTTATTGTCATTTCAAAAACGATTTTGTGTGTTCAGAATGCTGTTCCCTGTGGAATGGATATATTCACAGTTGGTTTTGTGACTGTCTTTGTTTTAATTTCGAAATAACAGAGTGTTGATAAAATTAACTGTGAATATTCCAACAACATTTCGATCGGCAAAATATTTGATGTCACGTTGGAAATAAATTTCATCATTCGATTTAGAATACAGAGTCACTTTGTTGAGGTAAGAGGTGATATTTATAATGCGCTCTTCATTACTGTTTCATTTAATTTGTGATAGAAGTGTTTATATCTTATTGTGTTTGTGATCTATGCTATATTTGATGTATTTTTTTCTTTAATTTTTGTACAATAGATCTGTCACGATGAGAAGAAAGAGAGCCAAGAATGGGCGCAGTACGTCGTTGAAGATGACTCTAAATCAAGTGCTGCGGGAAGGGTATCGTGCACCATTCATCGATCAGGTCACATACTGGTGCCTTTCGGCCACAATGATTACGACTCTGGCGTCATTACTGTTTTTGTTCAAAGCAAACAAAGCCTTTGACGATGAAAATGTTCGATTTTTTAAAGGTGAATCCGATGAATACACGAATGATGAATTCAATAAATACGTGAATGGTGTAATTGGTGAATGTTTCACCTCGGTATTACAAGAAAATTACCACAAATTACCGCTTGCATTTCGACGAACTGTGGAGCAAGCATGTCCTGATTTTCTTCGTCCAGAAAATTGGCCAGCTCGCGAGGGCATGGGGAACGCATTCAATCATCTCATCACTCAGTACATAACAAACGTCAAAAATAACATCAAAGTATGGGCATTCAGTCGCATCAAGAAATTTTTCACACTAAAGCGCTACGAACTGAATTTGAATCGACAAGGAAATCTCATCACTGAATTGGATGTAAAACGTGCGACGAAGATCGTAATGTTCCAAAGTAGAGTCGAGAGAAACGCGAACATCGATCTTCTATTAAACGAAGCAGCAGGCATTGGATTGCCAATCAATGTACACTTTCAGAATCTCATTCGTGATCGCTGGTTCCAAACCATTCCAATATTTATAAACATTCAGCGACAAATTTTCGATTTTCACGCGAAATATGAAATGTTGAAACAACGCTGGTTCCAATATCGACGCGATCCGAACAACAATGTCATGCCGACCACTCCACTCCCGCCAAAAATAAAGAATTTTTTAGTAGTTCCAATCCACGATTTCGATATGAAACATATCCGCATCGATATCCATCTTTTTTATTTGATTGCGCGCAAATTTGGAGCATTGAAATTGGCAAAAGGAAAACGCGGTCAGCCAATAAACATTGAAAAAACTGAATACGATAGCAATCCAGCTTTCTATTGGAATTTAATATTTGACATGCCAAAAATTTCGAAACTTGGAAATGGTAAGGAATTCGATTTTGCTGTGGCAACCGATAGTGTGGCAGTTTCGTTATGTTTCGTGAAGCCTGAACGCAATACACCAGAACTTGATAACAACACCATCAAAGAGAAGTACAATAATTTTGAGTTTGATTATGTGCTTGGAATCGATCCAGGAGTTCGTACATGGAACGCCACAGTTCGCAAACACGTTCGATCCGGCAACGAGGTAAGAAACAATAAATTCATTCTTTATTTATCATTTGTTTACTTCTATGATTTTTTGTTCGTAAATCTCAGGAAAACATCACAATTGATGGTCCAAAATACCATTTCAAAGCGAAATATGGCAAACGCAAGCGTAAATCCGATCAATGGACTGAATTGTTGCAAAAACAACGGGAGCTCGACTATAAACGCTATGCATTTTTTCCATCGCCGAAAGGACGTTCACATTGGATGTGTTACATCGCTTATTATGTGAAAATGATGAAACCAGCTATGGCGGTGTACACAACAAGAAAGTTTATTCGACTCCGTCTCGATAAATACATCGAAGAGAATCGGGCCAGTGACAAAATCGCGGCATCACTGACGAAAAAAAAGTCGGCGCTCGTTTTTATTGGTGCAGCTCAAATAGCTCCAAACTCACCAATTGGTATTAAAAAGCGATTGCGATGCCCGGGATTACGACGACTATTGAACAGTTTTAAGAAGTTGGGAAATTGTATTGTACGATTGGTCGACGAATACAATACATCGCAAACTTGTGCAAAATGTTTCCGGCCATTCGATCGACGAACCAAAAGCGATCGATACAAAGTTTGTCAGCATTGTATTCCAAGTGAAGATGAGTCATCGCAATGGAATTTACCGAACGTCATTATCACCATGAAAAGCAACCGAGTGTACCAACAATTGCGTAAATATGCAGTTGATTTTGTTAATCGATTGAATGCAGTCAACCCAGATCATATTCCAATGGATTCAGATGGTTTAGTGTCAAAACTTCAAGTATGTTTCAAAAACTGGCAACTAAACACTGGCATTTGGAAAGATGATCAAGCTCCATTTCAATTGAAAACTGTTTGGCACCGGGATATCGTTGCAGCCAAGAACATCATGTACAAAGGTGAAAAAATATCACTGAAATTAAAAATGTTTAAGAATGTTTTGGCTAACAATTTGTTGTTTACGATTTTGTTTTTAGGTCTTTGTACGGTGTTGGGATTGGACATTCATCCGCAACTATTGAGACCACAGAATCAAAATGCTGCCGTACAAAATCAAGCAGCTGACGATGAGGATTCCAGTGACGATGAGAACTACGTTTATGTTCTCGATGTTTCCGATGACGACCAGTTTTAATTACATGTAGCATTAAGATTTCTTTTTAAATAATATTATTGTAACGTTTTGTTACTATGCTGGGCTTGAGTTTTGTGGCCTTGACCGAAGTACGGGCAGTTCGGTATATAAAATAACCCGTAGGTGAGTATCATTTATTGAACTGAACCGATAGTATATTGATGTTGATTCATACTTAGTAACTGAGTTTATTTTTTCTCTTTTTTCTTTCCATTGCGACGTTGAAAATGACTGAAACTACACTCAAATCCGACCCCAATATTGACCGTCAACATATGCCCGATAATGGATGAATTTGCCACAACAAATGTTTTTTGGGAGGTACATTTCTGATGATTATATCTTTCCGTATAACACACACTTCACATATTTTGAACAGAGCATCTTGATTTGCTGCTGCTCAGCATATTACTGAGAGCTGAGAAATGCTGAACTCGTGCGGCTAACGCATACGAAACGGATGCACGATACATATTCCCCTTTCGCTTCGTATGTGCTGCCGTTGACGCTATTGCCGGTACAACGTTTACACACTATACCAGCGAACATACGAAGTGAAAGGGGAATATGTATCGTGCTTTCGTTTCGTATGCGTTAGACGTACACTTTCAGAATATATGGAAGACTGAGAGCAAAAACAGCACGTCGCATCTCATCTCTTGCTTTCACTTACGTAAGCAAAATAACGAGGGATGCGACGTGATGTTTTTCTCGCAGCTTCTCATATGTCGGTCGCAACACAATTTCAAACTCAACTGGTTACTAAGTTTTGAGTTTTGAATTGAACGACCAAACAACTGTTTATAACCGTTTAAACGGGGAGAATGCATGTGTGCGTGTCATCCATTTCGTATGCGTTAGCCGCACGAGTTCAGCATTTCTCAGCTCTCAGCTATATGCTGAGCAGCAGCAAATCAAGATGCTCTGATTTTGAACTACTTATACGCAAGTGAATTGCACGTATATGAGAGACACGGCGACGTGCCAAACCGTAACGCCATCTATCGGATAGAATCTGAAATACAATTTCGTATTGACTATCTCATATTTGTGTAATTTTGTTCATAGAATTATAAGGTATATTCCGACAGATTTGTAAGGTTTTTATTCGCCAACATATTACATAGCATGCCATACCCTTGCTCATACGTCAATACTCTATTAATTGGCCAAAAACTTTACTGTTTATTGAATTAGTACTGCACTACCAGTGCATGTTCAATATCTCTTTCGGGGAATGAAAATTCATTCGGCAAAGGAAGAAATTTGGAAACAGGGCGGACAAGTTAGACTTACGGATGTAAATTCCATTTTAATATTAAAGGGTAAGGTTACGAGCGAGCGAAGCGAGCGAGTAACCGTCCAATACGTAAAAAAAATATAGAAATATTGGAAGAAACTACCCAAGCACTCAAATTACACTGTTCGTCCAGAGCATTTGCACCGAGCGTCTTTAGCTCCGTATTCTGTTTTGTGTGTTCGTAACTGACGCACGGTACGAATGCCCCGGGTGAACAAGGCAAATTTAGTGCTTGGGTAGTATGCCGAGGCGAGCGAAGCGAGCCGAAGGCATGCTAGTTTACTATAGAAAAAACTATTATATCACGTTTAGAATATGCGACGTATAAAATTATTTTTTTGAAAAATTTACTATAGAAAAAAACAAGACGCTGATGTAAAAACTATTATGTCCGACGTACGATTTTTGTATGAAATGTATGTAAATGTAAAATGTATCTAAAACATTATTCGTCTGGCCCCAAAAACAACGAGAAAACGATTTGGCCATTCTTTTGTCAAATTATTTCGAACGGCCCCGAATCTTAATCCTAGTATATATCTATATCGGTCCATAATTCAAAATCATATTTATGGTTACGAACTACATTTTGATATGTTTTTCTCGTCACTCTTGGCCGTCCGTGCATATTTATTTAAAAAAAAAGATGTATGTTCGTTTGACGTACGGCCACAAATGAAATATTACCTGCAAGATCATATTAGCGACGAATCAATTTTTAGAATCTCTGATGATAGGGAAATTGAAATAAACCTCGGTGATGCCCAATTCCAACAAAATACAATATGAACTGCGTTTCAATATGTTTCTTATGTGAAGAAACTTTTGATCGTACGTACGTTCTCCAAAGAATTTGAAAAAAATATATATGTTCATTTCTATAGTTGCACAAAAAAAAGAATTGACCGTCCGTACGGGCACTAATGTCGCTCGTGTTTGTCCGGATATTTTGACCGTCCGTACGTAATATACTTTAACTGTTTTTGATCGTACGTCACTGTTTTTGTCAGTCCGTCCGGGCACTTATGTCCCTGAGCCCAAAAGTGTGTGTTTGTATTTTTTTTTCGATCTCTGTCCATAATTTCGGCACTCTGCCACGATTTTAATAACCAGATTATTTAGTAGTTTTGTGTAGATGATGAATCGTATCGGTAACACTCGTTTTCCATTCAGCAATATTGTTTTTTTTTTGTTCAGTTGGTTGGTTGATGGTTTCATGTCAGTTTAACCGATGATTGCTAGCATGCACACTCCCTTCATTTGGTTCGCTGGTTGATTTTGCATTTTGATAGCGATTTTTTAATGTAAAAAAAATTGCTGCCGCTGTTTTTTTCCGTTATTTCATTCATTCACATTTGTTTCAGAGTTCGATGACGGTTACTGGTAGTTTAGTCTAAGTAATAAATTTTTATGGAGTATCAAACACGTGCACGTGCGTCCGTGCGATCATCAAAATCATTGCTGCAATTTTTTCCCCAAAAATAATGAATAAATATATTAAAAAAAGATGTCCGGAGAAGGCGTAGGAAGAAGAGAAAGAAGCGCATTGAATGAGGGTAACAAAACAACGACAGAAATCACGCTGTTTATTATTATTACGACTTTATATGCGCAAACACACATATGCACCGTTGTATATTCGATTTGATGGCACAGACACCGGGTTAGTGTGATTTAAGTTTTGATTATACATTCGCTTCGGTTAAGGTTGAATATAATCGAAAATTTGCTACAGGTTTAAATGTTTCAATTTTCGGCCGGAATATAGCTCCTTCTTTTTGTTTCATGAATATTATTTATGATTGCACTGTCCTTCCTGCTAAAGCATGTACAATTTACATCGAAACGATCATGTGACCAGATGCTCGTTTCGTTCAAATCACTGCATCTTATATGCCTTTTCCTTTCCAACCATTAAACACACTCACATCTTCGCTTATATTTCATTTTGGCATTATGCAACGAGAATTGCACCGGAGCGCATAGAATACGTTGCCGTAGATACAAAAGGGGATAACAAGCAAAATACATTACAATGTTTGTCTTTGGTTTTCGAATAACATATTTCCGCCAATGTGCATAATAATAATCTAATACACATGAAAATGATTGCTGCTTTCGATTTCGTACTTTGGGACTACCAAGTCGTCGGTATATCGTTTTCGGCTCACAGCATGCAATTGAATCGTCAAACGCATATAACCAAAGAATTATTCAGTATCTTTATTCATGCTCCCGTCGTGTGTATTGCTTTGCACTCATATATTATCCGTTCACTCTTGATTTGAGATTTCAATGCAGTCGAGCGGCAAGTATTTCATGAATTTTTAATTTCAACGTGAAACAGCAACTGGGTTCGAGTGTAAATGAACGGGCGACCAGGCAACATTCTCACGAATAAATATATTTAATTTAGAGTAATATTACGTTTGGGAATATTTCAATAAATACAAATTCAATTCAACATACTCGACTTTATCAAATCATTACAACGCGAAACGAATGTGCGAAGTGTGTATGAGAGACGGTGAATTTGAGAACTCAATATTATTTTGTGAACGAGCGATAGTTGGCAGACGTATACTGATTTCACACGTCTGCCAACTATTGCTCGTTTTACAAAAGTGTACAAAAGCAAGTGTAAATGGGATGCGAATACGAATTTCGATAATAGATTGGTAATTTTTTTCATCCTTCTCGCTCTACATTCTCCAGTCATTCCGTAAATCGTAATGCAATTGACAAATCGCCACGAATGTTCGGAAATGCTGTTCGAGTTCTGGGTTTGATTTTCAGGCTAATTCAACGTATCCGGAGATTTTTCAATAACTATTCACGTTTATTGACCCAGATTTTCGCATTCAACTTTTCCGTTTTCTTTGTATTTATATTTATTTGGGAATTTCCCGATGATTCACAATGTTTTTTTTTTAAACAACTTTATCGCATTGCTTCGATTGTTGGTTAAGTTTTTGCTTGTGCGCCAATATTCCTGCATATGCATCCGTATTCGATGTTATTCGATTGAAGCGTGAAAAGAGGAGGGCTTTGGCCATCCGCTTTTATTTCGCGCACTGTACAGCACCAAAAGTGTAATATTTAAAAAGAAATAATAAAAATTTCTGAAAAAAAAACACACACACACAACAACAACAACAAGATATTGGCAACGTTATTGTGGCTAGATCGCTTTACTAGAATTTCAAAAAGTAATAAAAAAAATCACCGATACACACAACGATGAGATACAGAGCACAAAGCATAGTATTCTATCGCGCGGACATTGTCGGAAAAACTCGGAATACCAGGATGATGGAAAGAGAGAGAGAAAAAAGCAGCGGACAGAATAAAAAGAATGCTATTAAAAATAATTGCAATATTTTTTCTCTGCTTCTGTGTGTACTTTTTTGTTTGTTTGGTCTGGCTTAGTGTGTGTGCCAGTGTGTTCAACGAGATTCGTTTGATTTTATTACAGACGGAGCGATTCGATATGGCACGAAAGCCGTTGTTTGTATCGATGCAAAATTGTCGCTTCTGTAAACTCGATAGTATTTGGCTCGAGCCATCGACCAAATAAAAGGCAAGAACGTTGCGTTTTTTAGACAGAGCGCGAAAGTGAATGAGATAGAACGAATTATATGGAAGTAAATGAAAAGCATTAGAGTGCATATTAAAATGAAAATCGATACTTTCATTTCATGTTGAATATTTTTCAGTTTTGAATTTCGTCATTTTTCTACTATTTTCTATGCCAACGGCCGCGATACAACATTATCCCATATCATTGGGAAATCCGAAACGCCGTGCTCGTCATTGACAAATGTAAACAATCATAAAACATTTTCACTATAAAATCGACCATCAATGCAATTTTATTTATTCTCATTGTTTGTCCATACTAATTTTAGATTGGAATATCATGGTGTTTGCTATTGAAATTCATTTTGATATTGTTGATATGATGTTCGTTATACGCGCACATTTAAAAACTGACGG